TAGAGTTTTTAGGAAAATTTGGCTTTCCTTGCCCATACCACCATTGGTCCCAAAGATAAGCGGTGTAAATGAACCCATTTCCACTTCCAGAACTCTCTGTTGATATTTTCTTTTCTTTTCTTGCTCTTGTTCGTTGAATATTGATGAGGTGGTTTTCTTCTGGTTGCACTTGGAGTTGACATGCGACACTCGTACGTCAAAAAATGCTGTCACTCCTCGTTGCCAGAATCCCCCCGCTTTGATATCCAGGCGTGCATCTTCGCTTGTAGTCGTGGATTTTAGGTTAAACCGTTCTCCATTCAGTGGAATCAGCCGAGGCTAATTATTATTATTATTATTATTATTGTTATAAGTTTGGCGCTTTCCGTTTCTTTTCCATAAGGTTTCGCAAAGAATATTAGTCTAACAATATGGTTCTGCTTGACTTGGACTTTTTGAATGTGAGTTTGGTATGTACTACCCCATGCCATTATGGCATACGATATGTACGGATAAATTAAGTTATAATAAATTTGTCTAAGTTGTTTGATAGATAGATAATGTCTCAATTTACAGATTATTCCAGTGTTACGTGATATTCGAGCACAAATGTAAGAGATATGATATTTAAACGATATAGAGTCATCGATCGTTACACCTAAGTATTTTATATGATTTTTCCTTTCCACTGAATAGCAAGATCCGTCTCTACTTTTGATTCTAATATCTACCAAGGCATCTTTTTTTCTTACAGATTTTATTATCATAAAATTGGTTTTTGGAATATTAATGGATAACTTATTAGCGTCACACCACTCCTAAACTTTTTCTAATTCAATATTAATAGTTTTTTCAAGGGAGTTCAAGCCACTATCGGAAGCAAATACGTTAGTGTCATCAGCAAAAATTTTAAATCTTAATTCTTTAGAAGAGTTAGGAAGGTCATTAATGTATATTTGGAACAACAGCGGACCAAGTGAACTTCCCTGAGGAATTCCACACGTTATATTTCAAGGTCTGAAACAACATCTCCTAGAGCAACATATTGTTTTCTATTCGATAAGTAGTTATTGAACCATTCCAGTGAAAGACCTCGAATTCCATAAGTTTGTAGTTTTTTAAGTAGTATTTGATGGTTTACTGTATCAAATGCTTTAGAGAAGTCTAAAAATACACCACATGTGTACAGGTTGTTATCTATGGCCTCGAAGATTGTCTGCAATTTCTGTAATAGCTTGGGCGGTTGAGCGTCCTTTGCGGAATCCAAATTGGAAGTCGTAAAGAATCTGTTGTTTTTCGATGTAATGTATTAGTTGTTTATATATCAATTTTTCGAAAATTTGCGTAAATGTAGATAGCGTAGAGATAGGACGATAATTGGCAGGGTCAGAGGTGTTTCCTCCTTTATCAATAGGAGTAACTTTAGATATCTTAAAAGATGTTAGGGACAACGCCCTGAAGTAAAGATTGATTAAAGACCAACGACAGTGGTTCGCTGATGTACTCACTGGCAATTTTGATACATAACTGGGGGACTCCAATTGTCGATTTATTTAGTTTTACGCCTCTCATTTCATCTAATACTTCATGTGGAGTTATACCACGAAACATGAAGCTTTTTTGAAAAGTGCGTTTAATATAGTCTAAAGAGCTCGCATCAGTTTGTGGAAGTTTTTCTGCCAATTCATGGCCAATACCAATAAAATGAATGTTCAACTGTTGAACAATACTTTTTTGGTCGGTGTAACACTTGTTTTTGTATATTAGTTTTGTGATTTGTTTCTGAGAAGAATTCTTTTTTCTATTAATAATCATCCCTATGAGTTTCCAAGTAGTTTTTAAGTTATTGCTGTTGAGGTCGAACTGATCTTGAAAATACTTTTTCTTTGCGGCTTCTTTTATTTTGTTTAATTTATTGTTATATTTCTTGTATTGCTTTACCTTAATTGGGTCATTACTAAGAAAATGAGATTTAAATAAATTTTGCTTTTTCTTGATCGATGTAAGTATAGCATTTGTAATCCAAGGTTTTTTAACTTGTCTTTTCTTCCTATTAGAGATTTGACGAAGTGGCGCATGATCATTTGAAATTGATTGAATTACATTAATGATTTCATTCATACTTTCATTAACATCTGAGGATATTAGATTATTGAAGTTAATAGCTTGTAGGCTTTTTGAAATGAATCACTATCAAAGTTAGAGAAGTCCCGGTAGTATTTTGAATTTAAAAAGGTAGGAATCTTAGTTGATATTGTACAGATAATAGGGAAGTGATCAGAAATATCAGTTAAACATATTCCAGATTTTAAGGTTTTTTGTGGTACATTAGTATAGATATGGTCAATTAATGTGGAAGTATGATCAGTAATTCGAGTGGGTTTGGTTATCAGCGGCAGGTATCCCAGATCAAAAAGGGTGTCGAGATGCTCTGATGTTTGGTTATCTCTGTTGTAGTTTAATAGGTTTATGTTTAAATCGCCTAAAATAAAAACTTCTTTCCCTTTATTGTTTAGTGAAATCAATTGTTCTCTAATAATCTTAGTGAAACGATCACAATCCCTTGAGGGGTGTCGATAAATACATCCGATAACAATGTTCTTTTGTCTCCTACGCGCAATTTCAATCCAACAGGATTCGAGGTCTTCATTAGAAAGTTCAAGATCGTGTCTCCTAATGAAGTCCAATTCATCAGAAACATAAAGGCCAACTCCTCCTGCGGAGGTTTGCGAATTAATATTCAAAAATGTATAACCTAGTATGCTAATGTTGTTTATATTTTGGTCTTTTAATTTTGTTTCTGAAATAGCAATAATTTCCGGTAAAGATTTGAAGGTCATAAGTAAATCTTCCAATAAGGTTAAATTTTTGGAGAGACTGCGCATGTTAAAATGAATGTTTTACAATAACTTAGAAATTTCTCGCGCGCTGATTGGCTATTTTTTATCATCAATAAGAGGACAGACAGATAAAGCTGACGTCAACGAGCGCGCGCTCTTTCCGTTGGTTGTTTTGATCGCTAAAAATGAGAAGTTTTGATCGTTTTTGTTATTGTAAAAAACAAATTGACATCAGATTTTTATGTGTCTGTCCTCTTATTGACGATAAATTGCGTCATCACATTGTCAAAGTAGTGTGGATTCACGAGGCGTACCAGATTGCTTTTTTGCCTTATGGAAAAGATTACCGGATTGCTTAATAGAGTAATACTCAATTAATACTTCATTTCAAGAAGGTAGCACTAAATAGTATACAATACTAATGATGAAAACATAGGTAAATTATACACCGTGAAAAAGATGAAAAAACTTAC